TACTGTCAGTCTCTATAAGTCCACTGCCTAATCTGTTATCTTGTATGTTATCCTATAGTGAAATTCACCTTTTATTTGCTAAGGTTTTCTGTAATGTGGAGACAATCCACCGTGCTAACAAAAGCTAACTAAAATGGAATATAAGAGACTGCTTCTTCTTAGCCCCAATAAAGACAGATAGATAACATTTTGGGAGATTTTAAGTGAACATAACTCTAAGAATTGAAGATTATATATTTAAACTCTAACTGACTTTCCTCATATTTTGTGATACAGTGAAAGAATTTTCTGATAAAATTTAGAAGGTTTTCAAATATTCATATTTTCTCATTACTTTGAAATAAGTAGAAGAGCTATAGCACATTAAAATATTATTTTTAAACTCTAATGGGAAATTTCAATTAAAGGATATATAGAAATAATCTATTGTTCTCAATTTTCCTTGGGTAATTTACATATTATTTCTGGATTTCAGTTTTCTTTACTGAAAAATATAGAAAAACAAGAGTTTTAAGTTTGCTACTGTTTTAAAATCCAATGATTTTTCCTCTTATGAGTCACTTATAACTTCATTTGAAAGATTCTACCTCAGAGCATATTCTAATAGAATGTTGACTAATATTTGTGTGCACACAGTGGTTAATTAAATTTTCCTAATAAATCTTTCTAAGTCTTCCTAATAAATAAACGATCACTGTTATTTTCTGTGTTGTTCAAAGGTGTCAGTTTATTCCCATGGTAACATCACTAGCTGATCCAAAACCTGGCATTCAAAACTAGGACTAGTCTTATTTCCAAGTCTGGCTTCTTGTTTCATATCTATACTCTCAGGCAGGCATTGGAGTATAGAAAACAAAGACTTTCAGCCACCAAAAAGTGGGCATCAGTAAAAGGGAAAAAAGTTTGGTGACTTGAAGAAAAATGAGGATTTTGTTAGTTAGCCTTCCATCTCTGTGACAAAATACCTGATAATGATGACTTAAAGAAAATGGTTTATTTTGACCTGTGGCTTCAGAGATTTCAGTCCATGGTCCCTTGGCCCCATCGCTTCTGAGTCTCCAGGCAGACCTGAGACCATGTGACAGGCAAAGCTGTTCATCCAGTGGTGGTGGGGGAGGGGAGAAGGAAGGTGAGGGAAGCCAGTGGACTTCTTTCTCTTCCATTTCATCCACTTCCCCACCTGATTGGAAGCTGCCATTGACCTTTTGGGGATGGTATTCCACATTAGTTTGCTATCCTATATGCAAAATGTCTCTTGAAACACCCTCAGGGACACACCCAGAAGTGTGCTTTACTAACTTCTTAGGCTTTTCTCAATCCAGTCAATTCAACAAGCAATATTATCTATTGTAATGATAACTTATAATTCATTTGAGTTGTTTCTTTGTTGACCAACTTAATTCTAATTATTTAACAGCCTGAAAGGTAAGTGGTTAAATGTCACACTTTTATATATCTTTATAATAAAAGTAATGAGCTTATTATTTGTTTTGCATTTCACAGTTCCCCAGAAAAAATGTATCTTGAGGAGAAGAAAAATTGTCCCTACCCCTGTCAATGAAGATTTTTATAATAGATTCTTTATGTATGCATTCTTATTGCTGCAGCAGTTACATATTCTTGGGTAAAGAACTTTGTTTAATGCTGATCCATTTGAAGGCAAAAATAACAGTCCATATGGAAGAATAACAAGCAATCATTTGAAAAAATCATTTTCTCAACCTCCTAATCATTAGCTAATAAGCCAGGAATGGCAGACATAGAAACAAGTCTATGCAAATGCAAATATAACCATAAATAGAAGAGCAACAGCAATAAATGTATAATATATCTTATAAATAGATATAGATAAATGTGTGTGTTTGTGCATTTATGATAAATCACCCCTATGCTACATAAAGTCATACAGCTGAAGTAGAGATAAAATAAAATTATTCAACATAAATTGATTGCAGTTAAACCATCTGTGATGAAATTATTATAGACTGTCTTGAAATTTCTTTTATAAATAAGGAAAATTAAATACTAAGGTTATAAGCGACTGAATTTATAAACTATGTCTTTACCTAATTTTTGATTCCAAGCTTCCTACTGCTGACTTGTTGAATAATATAAATCAATGATGGTGAACCTTTTAGATCTTTCAGTGATACAAACAGCCCGCTAGGGCACACATGCCATAGGTTTACCACCACTTATATAGAGCATTTGCTTCCACTGTTGCACTTCTGGTCTTTTTTCTTTTTCTGAATTAGCGCCTGCATTACGGAGGCCAGATAACAGGTTCCCATTCTCTGTTGGCTTGCTCAGTGATAAATCATCAGAGGCACCAACATTTGTTAATGTCTATTTAGCAGGGTCCCCTGGAAAATTTGTGTGACGAGAAAATACTGTCAAACTAACTTCTATAACCTCATCTCTTACTTGCACACCCTTTTATTTGTATCTTTCTTTGGGTCTTTCAAAGGTATCATTCTAAGTATTTGTGTTTGAGCATCATGAGACACCACAGCTGAACTGATGAGGATCCCATGTTAATTTCTAATGATTAGCTAGGACAAAAAGCAATTAAGAACTAAATATGTAATAATATGATAGAATTCTTTGCTCACATATATTGTTCTATCCACTAAATAAAATTTGAAGAACAGTATTCTATCATTCTTCCTTTTACTTATGAAAGTAACTAACTAAACTTACACAGAAAAGCTACATTCCCATGTGTGATAAATTGGAATTTTAAACATACACAAAAAGCTTTAACTAACATCACATTGTCTGTATTACTTTTTGAAGTGCCATTTATATATTAAGAAACAACAGATTACAAGACATTAGGAAAGCAAATATTCTGCCTCATTACATCAGTAATATTTTCTCTTTTAAGCTGAGATCTATACTTTCAAAATGAATTTAGGGATTGTTGGGTATATTCACAGTATTTTACAGATGAGGAACTGAAATCATAAGTTGCAAGACTTACTGAAGGTCATACAGAAAATTAGCCTTGAAACCTTTGATACTGGTTGTTCTGTTTTCTGCTAAATTTTGGATGCTTGACAATCAAGGCTTGAGCCAGCTGCCCCATCAGAGGGCTGTCCTAGGGCATCAGGCATATGGACTCTCTTCAGGATGCTAAACTTTATTACCAGAGCTAAATCTGGGATGAAAGGAAACAAATGAAAAGAAATACATTTGGGAGACTAGGGAAGGATAAAGAAAGAGAGAGAAGAATAAAAAATATTTAAGTGTCCTAGTAGTAGCCTAACTTAAACAGCTGACCAATTAAGGATGTTCTGAGCCCATGGGACACTGAGTAGTGCCCTGGAAAGGAAGATTTTGAAGTCTGACCTGCTTAGAATGCTTGCTTTGCCAACTATTAGCAACGTGTTCACACAGCAATCCCACGTTATGCTCACATTAGATGAGATACTGAGCAAGCACTGCCTGCTCATTGATAGAAGCTCCCCTTCCTGGAGCTGTGCTCGGCCCCAAGGTGCAGTCCCACAGGCAGGGCCGTCCAAACGTGCTGGCCAAAGGGACTTCAAGCAGAGTGTGGAGGCAAGGTTGCAATCTGTCATAGTGGAGACCAATTCACACTGAACTTTAAGTCAAGACTAACATCCTTTTATACTCAGTGAAGGAAACACTATTTCCTCTCATTACTTGAAAGTAGAACTCACTGAATAAGTTTTGCAGCCAGGATAAAGGCTAAGCAATTGATGGAACGTGAAATAGGCAGGTGTTGGTGTTCCATGTCCAATCCTCAGTCCCGTGAGCCTTTGCTGTGTCCCCTTCCCTAATGTAACTTTCCCTATGAACTCTCAGAGCGTCTTTATGCCCTCTTTCCACAGAAAAATCCCATTAATGGGCAGTACCTATAATAAGCACTGTGATTCTCACCCTGGGAACATGTGCATTATGACAGAAGGCTCCATGGGAAAGTAGCGAACGTGAATCATTAAGGCTCATCATGGGACAGGTGGGCGCCTAATGGGTGGTGCACTATTGAGTCTTCCGAGTAAACCTGTGAATTAGACATAGTTATCTCAATTTGTATAGACAAGAAAACAAAAAGGAAATAGAAACAATAGCCAGAAAATCTGTGTGTGACTTGTTTATGGTGTAGCGGAGAAGTGGAACTGTGAGGTCAGTAAGCAAACCACTCTGGCTTTGGTACTGCATTCCAGAACCTGTTAGCTGCCATTATGTAGTCGAGATCTCCTTTGGAAACATGATATTACTCACGACATTTTGTCTTCAGACTGCTATTTTCCCCCTTCTCCTGCTCATAGCTTGGAATGGGTCATCTCAGGAAAATCACAACTTTCCATTTTCTTCTAAGATCCTTCGTTCCTTCTCTTCTTATATTTTTGAAAGGTGAGTATTCAAAACTCATAGTAATAGGAACTTGCTTACCAAATTACTGCAGACATTCCTGTGAGTCCAGCTCATCCCTCCTCTCTCCAAACCAGTTTTAATCCTTAAATATCCATTGTTTTCCTTTCAATTCTCTGATGTTGCAAGTCCTTATATTCCATGCTTTTTCACACTGCCCTTTAATGTAGTAAACTTTATGAGAAAGGTAGGAAGTGTGAACTTCCAACACACTTGGTAAAGACGATTCCAAGGTAACAATAGGCAAGGATGGGAAGGTGAAAAATAGTTGAATCAGATATTTAGACATTTGTCCACAGTTGTTCACCCCAATACCTCCTTCCTCCAAATAAGTTATTGTTTTTTGTAATATGGCTAATAATTATGATGTGATGAAATTATTTCATTCTTTCTGCACATTGAGGCAGTGAGGGGACTTTAAGTACTGCATTTGATTAGCTCTCCATTTATAAAATAATAATACAATAGCAATTCAGTGTGTAAAGTTAGCAAAAGCAAAGAAAGCAGACTTTAAATCTGAGAATTATGTTTCCTCTGTATTTTAATCAGAAATGAGTTATATACAACAATCTGTATTTAAAGAGAAACTCTATATGCCCAAAGTCAAACCTCACAACATTAATCATCATCATCATTATTATTATTATTGAATTTTCATTCAACCAATGTAATTGTATGATTCCAAAATTGGTAACCCAAGGAATTACTGACTTCATAGCTTGCTCAGTGAATTTCCAACAGGAAAGCAGAAGTCTAGGCTGAATTCTTTCACTAAAGAAGAAATATACTTTTATTGTACTTGAGGAGTTCTAGTGATAGAAACAATATATTAAGTGATTGAAAAACTATTAGCAATAAGCTGAGAATTTTTCAAAGCATCATTAACACTTCAGAAAATATGAGTGTTTGGGAAAATGCTCACTAACTTCTACCCTTTAATGAGAAAAAAACCACTATTACATTATTTCATTCACAATATGCTCCTAAATAAATAAGGGATAAAAAGGCAACGTCAGAATTTAAAAAATAATATTTTGGCACATTTCTTTCTTTCTTCTGTTGTTCTTCTTTTTTTTATTTTTAATGCCATCCTGTGTTACATAGTCCTGGAATTATTTTATGCTCATCATACATAAAAACCAAAAGTAACTTCTTGAGTCCATGAAAGTTATAAAAGTTATGTTTTCTTTCTCTTTTTTGGTAGCTGATTTCTCTGCATGAGATTTGCATCTATGGGAGAGTAGTAACTCTTACTGAAAAACAGTACATATTTACAGTTTTCTTTTTCATTATGTTTTCACAGTTTAATTCAGTTTGACAACTATGTAAGTAAAGTTATATCATTTATTGTACTTGTTAACCCCTAGCCTTGAGACTATAATAATTCTGAGTGATTTTTATGCTATCCGGTGGTTCTTTTCTACTGTTCTACAAACGGGATATCTATATGAATAGTGTACTGACAAGCTTTGTCCTCATCAATCTGACTGTGCTGTGATTAGGTGTATGACATCAGGCAATATTCCTAAGCCTCAGCTTCCTCACTGATAAAATGAAAGTGATAATATTGTTGGGAAATTTAAATGTGGCGTGCATAAGTGCAGTGATCATGGTGTCAGTACAGAAGAAAAGTCAACTAAACCGTCTCCGTCTATGCAAAACATGGGGCTAAGGTGTTTTGCTTTGTTTTTTCCCTGGGTATTTAGCCTAGGGCCTCATGCATGCTAACTGTGTGCTCACCTTTTGAGCTACAGAACAAGCACCTGAGTTAAGTTTTGTCATTACTTAACATATATAAAAAAAACCCTCAGGATTCAAAAAAATGACTTTGCTTAAATTACTCCATTATAAAGTAGGTTTATAAGGATATTAGTGATGCATTTAAATATATTCATTTCCTTAGGCATCATCCATTACACCATCAAGGAAAGTAGACGCACATTCTAACACTTTTAGTATTGCTCAAAACCTTCTTCAGTATTTTTATGGAAAACTCTTCAGCTGTAAATTTGGAGCCATTTTTAAAAAATATCAGTGCCATTGTTTTTATTTGACTAAACATCAGGCTCATCTTTTCGGGGTGTGGAATGTCAAATAAGATACTTTATCTCATTTCAGAGATCTTTGTAGATCATAAAAAGCTATATAAAGATAAAATGTCACAGAATAGAGTATTAAAAGACAAATGCCTTCATTGCGAATATTCAAAATTGTGCCTCAGGCTTTTAAAGAAATTCTGAAAGCCTCCCAGAGCTTTGAGCACTGGCAGCGATTTTCTGAAATGTATATCATTTCCGAAGTGCATAGCTGGGAGTATCAACACCCATTCAAGCATGTAAATCTTAGACAATAAAGAATATTTACTAATTCTATTGATTTTATTATTATCTCACCTTTATCCACCGCTTGTTATGTCTGAATTTTTGAACCAGTAATTTTATCCAGATACATCTTAGACAGCTAAATTATATTCTTCAATTTGTTTGCTTTTGAAATTAAATTCTACTAATTTGGGTGGGGGCTCAGAAATTTTATCATAGCAAGCCAACCCTGTAGCAAGCCAATGAGTTAGTATTACTTTTTCCCAAGAATTATTTAAATAAGGAACTGAGGTTAAAGTAAAAAATTGTAAAAATGGGATTACACTTTTGATTTATGGAGTGATGAAATGAATAGAAGTGAACTGCACACTGAGCAGGTTGGGGAATAATTATCAGGGTGTGGAACGAGACACAGGTTTGATCACATAGTGTTTCTTGATTCGGAGAAACTGATTTTCCCTTAATAGTGTTTGCTTTTGAATGAGTCCTCCTCAGCTCTCTGTCAGAGGTCATTTCATGCCCTCTTGATTGCTTTACCTCAGATGTTCAGCATTTTGCTTTTTCTATTCTGTGACTTTGCGTTAATTATATTTTCTGGTTATTGACCTGATGTGATACTTCTTAATAAAAGCTGACTTATCTCTTCCTCTTCAAGTACAGCTTCAGATGGATCCTAATCGTGTCTGGTGAGGCACCTTATCCCAACTGGGAAATTAGGAACTCTGGATTAACAGCTCTGTTAATATGCACATAGAAGGAGACCAGAAGCACTGCATTGAATGTATTCTGTGTTGAGTGTCTAGATGCTCATCAGACCCTTAGAAATATATAGGCGGCCAGCTTGTTCAGCATCAAGCTTTTAAAAGAAGTAACAAATAATATTTTCAAAATAGTGACTATATCATTTTTGCCAGAAGAAAATGACCACTGTTCTTTGTGCATTTTTCTATCAAATAATTAAAAGCTTTATTGGAGATATCCCAGAGCATGTATGTGCTTGACATTACAGCTACATTCCTTGGGCAGAAAGAGGAAGTAAACAGAGTCACAACACCAAAGATACATTTTGAATATAATGAAATATAAGCCAGCTGCTATGAAATATTCAGCTTTCAGATTTGTCAGTGGCTACATTACAGTGGATAAAAATTATCAAGCTTCTTCAACGAAATTATGTGAAATCTCAGTAATCTACTCTATCTCTTATAATAGGCTTTTATTAATTTCCCTCTTTAGCTCACAAAAAAATGGAAGAATCTCTTGAAACAGCATGCATAATACTTGCTATTGTGTATGTTGATTGACTTAATGTAATTCTATTTCTAGTACTTTAGGAGATTCTCTGTATTGCTTCCATTGTCTGGCAAATACACATTCAAATGAAAACATTTTCAGTTTTATAAAGGAAGGGGTTTGGAACCGGGAAGAATAAAATTACAGATACAGTAAATCCTTCTTATTTAAATTCACTTGTGAGGTTTTTGCAATTTTAGATTTAATATGTTAGAATTTAGGCAGGTTTAAATTAGATTAAAAGAAGATACTATTTTAAAACAGTCTATTATTTCAGGGTTGAGTTTTTCAAGTACTTTGTGAATCTTCCAACAAGGCTTCTTCTAAGAAGTTAGTGTGACATACCTTTTCATAAATATAATTACTATATTCAAAAAGGTCTCTTGTTTTCCAGGGATAGGAAGAGAAGGGAGAAAGAAGCCTCCAATACGCTATTTCAGAAGAGAAGAGTTCCATCACCACAGCACAGCGATGGTCACGAGCACACCCATCAGTGTGAGTGCCACAGGGTCAGCCCCTGCTGCACGTCTTGCACCAGCTGTGTCCAGAATGCTGCCACCATCAGGCTGGTGGACATGTTTCACGTCGCTGAGGTTCAGGTCATCTGGCATCCCTGCAGAGGCAAATAAAAAAGCACAGGCTAATACGGGACCGTTTCACCCAGTAGTATGGAAAGAGTCTCAGACCCCGAGTTTGGACACCACTTTTTTGGCAGCATTTGCTAAACAGTTAGTGTGATGTAGGTAATCCTGGCAGGTTTGCATTGCAAAGTATAGGTGCTGTGTGGAAGTGCTCAGAAATACTGTGAGAACAAATTAAACAGTTTTCCTGGTTCTTAAATTAAGTAGTTTTCCTAGTTCTTGAAATTTTGGAGCATATCTCTAATGGTATTGACTGCTAAGAAACTAAAATAAAAGAATTACTTGAAATATCTGGAGATATGGTATTGTTGGTTGTCTTAGAGCTACATCAAGAGTAGTACCATAAAAACTTACCCATGAAAACCATGTCAGGTAAGAGGAAATAATTGAATAGGGCTTTCTAAATGCATAGTTTCCATAAATCATATTCTATTAAAATAAAATAGGTATAGGGTCTTTTGTAAATTTATTTTTCACTAACTAGCTTTATATATATATATATATATATGATATATATATATATATATATATATATATATATATGGGGTACAAAGTGATGTGATGATTTTAATATAATTAGAAATAATTAGTTACAACTAATTAATATATTTTGTAATGAGACTATTTGAAATTTACTTTCTCAGCAATTTTGAAATATGTAGTGCATTTTTATCTGCTATAGTTAATATTCTGTTTACATCTCAGAAACTTACTCTTCCTATCTAACTAAAATTCTATAGCCTTTATCTAGCAGCTCCCCATAACTCTGGACCCTTAGCTCTGGGAAATCACTGCTCTATACTCCATCCACTTTTATGAGATCAACTGCTTTGGATTCCAGTTATAGGTGAGCTCAAGTATAGGATCTTCACTGGGAATGGGTCATAGAAAAATAGCAAAAAGAATAAATTATATCCTTTATACACATATATAACTGTAGGGATGGGGTTTTGGACATCTGTGAATAGATCAAAGAATTTGTCAATTTAGTCAATTGGAGACTGAGGTAAGGGATAAAGTGCTTGATTAATAAAAGGAGAAGATGCTATCAAAATATAGGCCAAGTTAGATTCCAGTTATTATGTCTCTCTGTGTTATGAAAACTGACAGAATGAAGAAGAGACCAGGCCCTAAATTTTTTGTGACGAATGGCTGCTTTCTTAAAGAAGTTTGTTAGTATGGTATGCTTAGGGAATTGCTGATTTATCACTTATTAGCTAGTGTCACCAATAGCGGGATGCCCTGTGGCTCTGAAGTAACTCTTCCTATCTAACTGAAATTCTGCTGCTACCATTTACAATGAACAGATTTAAATTCAATGTTACTACAGCCACAAATATTGTCATCGTAATTACAGTGAAATTAGAAAAGTTCCTATAAGGAAAAATCAATATTTATATAATTGTGCCAGTACATATACAATTCAGAAAGTAAGCTCCACAGCATTCAAGGATGAGAGCAATAAAAAGAAGCAAAGCTCTACTGATCTGACATTGATTTTACAGCCTGAGCTCCTGCATTATTATTCATTGTTTGGGTACTTGTTTTGCCCTTCTGTGTCATTAGGCAAGATAAATAAACTAATGATTCTTTATTTTTTAGGGACTGGAATTCAGTGTGAATATTTTAGTCATGGTTTTATACATCTTGTTAAGCCAGAGCTTAATAAGGAGCCATGAGGACTCTAGGCAATTAAAAAATAAAACTTTATTCCATAACTACATAAATTTGAGATTTAATGGATTTATTTTTCTTTTCTAACCATTGTGAATTGGTGTCTAGATTAGATTTATCTATAACATTTTCTAATAACTTTCCAAAGTAGTATTTCTTTCATTTATTCATTCATTCATTCATGAGTTAGGCATTGTTCTAGATTCAAGGGAAACTATGGTGTGTACAAGTTCACAAGCGAAAGGTATTATATCACCGATCTGCAAGGCAGACAAATCTAGGGAGCTATACTGCCTTCAATCAGGTGCTGTTTTAACATCTGGAGTAGAAATGCTAATAATAAATTCAACAATCAGAGAAATTAGGACCCTTGAGAGAGAAGTATGTGGAAAGAATTCAAGGTCCCACTGAGAGTGTAACAATTCTGGCTGCAGTTATGGATCAAGTCACAGCCCTGCCTTGACATCTGTTAGGAACTATCAGCATGCTGAAAAGGCCAGGTCCATGATTATTTGATAGAGTGGTTGTTTTCTTAAAGAAATTAAATTACCTAAGATTGCAAATTATACCAAAGGCACTAAAGATTCAGAAAAATTAGTTTGGGAATTTAATACCTGAATAGATGAAGCAAAAACAAAGTAATTTTGAACAATGTTTTATGTGTATGATAGCAAGACATAAAGGTGACAGTAAGTTTGTATTTCTGCCCTTGGTGGTTTACAGTTCAGTGGGAGAAAGACCGACAGGTATGCCACTAAAAACCTGTGTAATATTAAAACTTGTGTGCATGTGGAATGGCTAGCACTATTAAGTATGGACGAAGGATGTACCTTGATTGGGGGACCGTGGCCACTGAAGCACGGAAGTGTGTTCATTCAAAGTAATATCCACAGAGTGCTTGGTATGGCAACAGTATTATCCCGAGTACTTCACGCATATTAAATTGTTGAAGTTGTTTTACAAAAATCCCTTATAGTAGGCACTATTGTTATGCCTGCTTGTGTAGACGAGGAAATAGAAGCACTGGGAAGCTGTGTCATGGTGGCCAGTGGGGACGGACCCCTCATCCAGAAGTGTGGGCTCAGTGTGTGCTCCGGTTATCTGCTGCACTGACCTCAAACAAGGGCTTTGCTGGACATCAAGAAATCAAGATTTACATTGAGAAAAAAGATGATGCATGTTATTCATAAAGGGCATTAGATCTTTCTCTCTCCTTCCTTGACAGTTGGGGTGACTGATTATGTGCCAATATGGTGTATTAAGCCAGCAACTGAAAGCATTCAGGGATAAAGTACGTGTGGGCACAAGATGAGAATGAAGTGGAGAAGATTTCAGGTTTTCTTAGTCCTGCACGCATTGGCTGTTGCCTAGGAGGTGGGGGGTGTTGATATTTTTCTCTGTTTTTATTTCATCTGTCTACAGATTACAAACTTTCTATGGGTGAAAAAGACTGTGCTTAAAGATTATTTTCTGTATTTTTAGTAAAGAAATTTTCAAGGGTGCTACGATTTACTTTTTGTTAGATGGCTCACTTATTCACAAAATTCGTGCTGGACAAGAAAAATATAGTAAATGTATATGCAGGCAGACTCTACACTTATATGACTCAAGAAAGAAAAATAAACATTACTAAGTATCTTTTTCATCATTATAATAATGAAAGTATGAGGTAGAATAAAGTTGATCTATTTTTAAAGTACTTCAGTCATGATATCTCAAAACATGCCTTTTAGATAATATACTTTTAATGAACATTGTTGAATGCATAATGGAATAATAAGCTTCCTTCTCACAACAGAATAAGTTTGGTAGAATCAATCCTACCGTTATGTTGAGGAACAGATACAAAAGTAATTTAGTGCAAGCAGTGGGATTGCAGTTGATTATCAATTTTGTCACATTGCAATGTGGTTCTCATTGATTCCAGTACCATGCTTTTGGTCACTCCAAATCAAAGCCTTGAACTTAGGGTTAAATTCCGGCTTTGCTGCAGTCTCACTGGATGACATTAACCATGAACTTTAGATGAGAGCATTTTAGGAGCTTTAAAATGAAAGCATTTTTACCGAGAGAGAGGAGAGTTATTCAAAACATCTTTCTGGCTAGATAATTAAATCAGTATTTAAAAGATAAACTAGATTTTTATCTAACAGCATTTTTCTAAAGGATATATTTATAGAACAAAAACGTAAGTATAAGTAATGAAAGAGTAAACAAAATGCATACTTTGACATTTTCATTTATTTGGAAATGGATAAGCTTATAGCTTGTCAGGCATAACTTACAAAGCAAAGGTTCATTAAAAATAAACTCTGCATCTCAGGCAACATAGCAAGGGTAAGGAGACACACTGCATGGTGAAGGAAATGTGTGTACCATGTAACAATGGCAGAGCTCTCACAACCTATATGAGACCCAAGTGTTTCCATACCAGGTACAGAAAAATTGATTTTAAGAAAAATAGAAGAGATTTGAAAGCAAGCAAATATACTTTTATACCTAATGAAGCATCAATTAACTTTTGCTTAGCTGGCAGAAGCAGGGACAGAAAGAAAACAGATTGGCAAAGATATTACAAGAAATATGCCAAAACTTAACAGAAGTGTTTAAATTCCATGTCTGTATAGAAGCAATAACTTAATATTTATGAAACAATTGGAAAAATTAAGAGAATATGCATATATCCATTTACAAAATGATAAGCAGCGTGTGGCTGGTGAAAATGATAACCATTAAGTGTCCATTACTAGGGAATGCAGTCACTTATTAAAGTAAGTATTTACAAATAAATATTTATTGATACAGAAAATATATTTTGGTAAATTTATGTGAACTTTTAAAATGTTTCTTTTAACTGTACTCATGTAGGTCTCTGTTTTTGTAGGTACTCTCATTAGTTTTTGTATTGACCTAGTAACCTTTTAGTAATAATTGGGTGAATAAATAAGTTGCAGAATTTTATCCAGGGCAGAGAACTATAAAAATTATAACAACATGTTTCTCTAATTTGGTTCTTTTTCAAGTCCAAAATTATACTGGAGAAACAGGCTGTAAAATAAAGGATTAGACTTAGATGTGAACTCAGACTTTTATAACTAATAAAAAACTGTAAGAGAAACAATCCATTATGAGGAAAGTGATTATTTTCTAAATAAGTTCATTATGTGTCTCCAATCAGATTCAAATTCAGTGGGACTAAATTCAATCAGATCGCATCTCCTAGGAAAGGTGATTGATAGAGGCACAAAATTAGGTGGTTGTTTGGGTCAGGACATACCCTGAAAAATGCTGAGTTGCT